AGAGAGAGAAAGTGAGAAGTCACTTCCTACGAAGGATAGCCACCCCTCAATCCCTTCTCTTCCATTCTTCTCTCAGGATTTTGGGCATACATGCACACGCATGATTTTCAAGCGGCCAGTTCCAGGACTCAAAACAGTACAGTTGGCCATGTGGGATCCAGACACTTTAACCTCCACACCACCTACTGGTCTTGTCATTTTTTGAGGTTTTAAACTTGCTTTGGGGCCAGCAGGTGGCATGGCAGTTAAGGGCACTGGACTCCCACTTCGCCAACCACAGTTTGACTCCCGGACCTGGTGGCTTGCTTTCTCACTTTCCTTCTCTCTCTCTCTCTCAATCTCTCTCTCTCTCTTTCTCTCTCTGTCCCTGTCTGGTCAAATTAAAATAATAAATAAAGATAAATTTAAAAATAAGTCTTTTAAATAACTAAATAAATAAATAAATAAAAGTTGCTTTACCATCGTTTTACTACAATTTTAGTGAAGGCCCCTTATTGGATTGTTTATTTGTATTTTCCTGATTATCGAAAGAGTTGACATCTTTTCAAAAACTCACTCAACATTACATTTTTGATCTTGTGCCTCCTCAAGTTTATTTTCTAAGCATTGGTTTTAGGTTTTATTTTAGTTGATTTGTAGGAGTTACATATTCTAGATACCAGTTCTTTGATAGTTTCTGGCTTTACTCTTCAGTCCCTCATACTGCACTTTTGGTGCACAGAGGTTCTTAATTTTAATATGAAATTTATTAACATTTCCTTTTCTGATTTACATTTTCCCATGTATTATTTGAGAAATTTTTCCTCTCCTGAAATTATAAAACCATTCATTTCTGTTGCGTCGTCAGGAAAGTCATGACGCATTTTTGCATAGAAAAACAGAAAAAACGTCATGACTTTCCCAATGACCTAATAGTTTCTTCTCATCATTATATAGTGTTGCTTTTTGCCTTTAATACACCTGGGTTTTTTTAGAATTAATTTTATTTATTCATTCATTTCTTTTTATTTGACCAGAGAGAGACGCAGAGAGAGAGAAAGGGAAAGTGATAAAGCAAGCCACCAGGTCTAGGACTCGAACTGTGATTGGTCATGTGGGAGTGTGCAGCACTTTAATCACCATACCACCTGCTGGCTCCTTTTCCTTTAATACACTTGTAATTGATTGAAAATATGTATGTGGGACCAGTGGGTGGCGTGGTGGTCAAGGCACTGGGCACTCCCACCTGGCCCATCACGGTTCAAGTCCTGAATCTGGTGGCAAGCGTTCTCACTTCCTTTCTCTCTTTCTCCCTCTCGCTCTTGCTCTTGCTCTCTCTCTCTCTGGTCAAATTAAAATAGATGAATAAATTAATAAAAGTAAAATAAATAATTCTTAAAAAATATGTATGATGATTACTACAGATCAGATTTTATTTTTTCCCATATAGGTAACTGATTTAATATTTATCGTTTATCAAAGCACTTACTCTGTCCTTTGAGCCACAACATCATCTCTACTTTCCAGTCTGTGAGCATATTTTTGGGTACCAACTTCCGGTTCACCAGTCAATTTATATACCCCTACACCTTTTTTTTTGGAGAGATTTGTTTCGCTATAGGGCACGTGCGTTCGCCAGACAGACAGAGAGAGACATAGAGGCAGAAAGCGAGAAATCACCCCCCAAGGGAGATGGTCACGCCGCAATCCCTTCTCCTCCATTCTCCTCTCAGGATCTTGGGCACACACACACACGCGCCTGGCGTGAGTTTTAAGCCACCGGATCCGGGATGCGAACCGCGGTCAACTACATGGGAGTCCAGCGACATAGCCATTACGCTAACTGCTGGTTCCCCCCCTACACCATTACCACATTCCCTTAATGTGTTTGTAGAAGTTCTAAATGTTCTCTTGCTATTTGCCTATTTGCTCATTTCCTTAGTTGTTTGCTTTTTAAACAAGTTAATTAAATAGGAATTAAACAAACAATTGAGGCCTGTTGAAGTTAAAATCTATTTTTTGGGAAAGCTTAATAAAATAAACTAACTCTACTATGATTAATCACAGAAAAGAGAGAATAAGTATATATCGTAGGAATGGAAATTGTTGAAGAGATTAATCTTTCAGAAGAAAATGTTATAAACAATTTCATGTCAATTAAAAATAAAATTCTGGGAACCAGCAGATGGTGTAATGGTTACATCACTGGACTCCCATGCAGTCAACTGCTGTTCGAGACCCAGACCCAGCAGCTTGAAACTCACACCAGGCATGTGTGCGTACATGCCCAAAATCCTGAGAGAATAATGGAGAAGAAGGGATTGCAGCATGGCTATCCCTTCCACAGGCTGATTTCTCGCTTTCTGTCTCTCTGTCTCTCTCTCTCTGGTGAACACTTGCACCCTGTAACAAAAATATCTCTTAAAAATAATTCTTGGGGCCAGCAGCTGGTGTGATGGTTAAAGCACTAGACTCCCACATGGCTGACCATGGTTCGAGTCCCAGACTAGGCAGCTTTCTCACTTGCACTCTCTGTCTCTCTCTGATCAAATTTTAAAATATTAATAATAAATAAAATTAAGTAAATAATTCTTTTTTTAAAAAAATTTGGCCCAACCCTGTAATAAAGCAGTTAAGTGCTGTGCAGAGGAAGCTGGATCCCACATGGCCAGTCAGGGTTTGGTCCCAACCCCAGCAGCTCACATGTTGTGTAAGTACATGTGCCCAGGATCTTGACAGGATGGAAGATTGGAAGAATACAGATTGCAGTGTGACCAGGTCATAGGGGGAGTGGTTTTTTCACTCTCTTTGTCCTCCCCTCTGCCATGTATGCACATACCCTATAATTGTTGCCCTGCAGGCTGAGGCCTAATGGATGCCCTTGGTTTGATTCCCAACCCACCCTAAAAAGCTCAGAACAGTAGGACATACCTGTAGTCCTAGCCACTTAGGAGACTGAGGCTGGGAGGCTCATGATAGCACAAACCTCCATCTAATCCCACACCCCTACTTACACACTGCATTGAAAGTTCCTCACCTGGGTGTGTATTTGCTCCTCCCCAACCTTCTTGGAAGGAAGAATTTGGTGTTTTGTCATTTATACTATGCTACACATATATGTATATCCCTAAAATATTTAAAAATTGATGTGCTTGATTTTACACTCTCTATAAAAGGTGGCTGTCATATCCAGTATAATTTTTCTAGCATGCTTTTATAGTTATTTTGTTTGTATTGATATTCTTTGTTCACCCATTAAAAATTTTTTTTGACTATGTGGGATCCTGTTTTGTAAATATGCTATAATTTATTCATTTTCTATGTTTTAGTTCATTTTATTGCTTGTAACAGAAAACACATGGAAACTGGGTGACTCCGTTTAGCTCTTTTTTTTTTTTTTTTTGGAGGGCAGGGAGAGGTTTTTGCTATAGGGTGTGTGTGCTTGCCAGAAAGACAGAGACAGAAAACACCCCCAGGAGGGATGGCCATGCCACACTTCCTTCTCCTCCAGTCTCCTCTCAGGATCTTGGGCATGCATGCACACGCTCATTAAGAAAGTGAGTAAATAGCAAGAGAACATGTAGAACTTCTACAGACACATTAGGGAAATGTGGTAATGGTGTAGGGGTATATAAATTGACTGACGAACCAGAAGTTGGTACCCAGAAATAGGCTCACAGACTGGAAAGTAGAGATGATGTTGTGGCTCAAAGGGCCGGGTAAGTGCTTTGATAAAGTTTAAGCTGCTAGGTCTGGGACTCGAACCGCAGTCGACTACATGGGAGTCCAACACCGGAGCCGTTATGCCAACTGCTGGTCCCAGGAACTGGGTGACTCCTAAGAACAGAACTTTATCCAGCTCACTGTGTGGAGGTCCCAGGTCCAGGGGCTGCACCTAGTGAGGGTCTTCTGACTGCATCACAGCATGGGGGAGGGCAAGAGCATGTCCATCTGCGTCTGTGTGTCTCTGTCTTACTCCCTTTTCTTATAAACCTACCAGGCTTCAAGGTCAGCAGGTAGGCATGTTGGTTACTGCTCTAGATTCCCACATGGTTGACCGCACTGTGGCTTGCTCTTTCTTTTTTAAAGAATTATTTACTTAATTTTATTTATTCATGAATTTATTTTTATTTGACCATAGAGAGAGACAGAGAGAGGAAGGGAAAGTGAGAAAGTGAGCTACCAGGTCTGGGACGTGAACCGTGGTCGGCCACGTGGGAGTGTCCAGTGCCTTACCCACCGTGCCACCTGCTGGCTCTAACGGCTTGCTTTTTCACTTTCCCCCTTTCTCTGTCTCTCTCTGGTAAGTGCACATGCTCTATAGCAAATTTAAATAATAATAATAAATAATTCTTAAAATAAAAAAACATACTTCAGTCCCAAGGTCCCCACCCTAATGACCTTCATCCTAATCTCCTCTCAAAGGCTCCACCTTTTTTTTTTTTTTTTAAGAGAGAGATTTTTGCTAAAGGGCGCATGTGCTCACTGGAAGACATAGAGAGACAAGAGAGACAGAAAGTGAGAAATCCCCCTTGGGGGGAATGACCACACCACAATCTCTTCTCTTTTATTCTCTTCTCAGGAATTTGGGCACACAAACACATGTACCTGGCATGAGTTAAGCAGCCAGGTCCAGGATTCGAAACATAGTTGACTATGTGGGAGTCCAATGATGTAACCATTATACAATCTGCTGGTCCCAAGGTCACACCTTTTAATTCCATAGTTGGATTAGATTTTCACTCTCTTAATCTCACCACAATTAAAATCTCAACACATAAATTTGGGAGGGACATTCAAACCATAGGAGTGGATAGTTAGGTTGTTTTTCTATTGAAAACAACATTGCTCTGAGTATCTTATGCATGGTTTATACACTAGAGCTTCTTTAGGATAAATACCTACATACAGAACTGCCGAGTGGTAGCACATGCCCAACTTCAACTGTTCTAGATATTGCCAAATTGTTCTCCAAAGTAACTGTTGTTTAATTGTGTGATTTCTTTTTCCTTTCAGTGCCTGAAGACCTCTCATTAGAAGAAAGAGAAGAACTTTTGGACATTCGTCGAAGAAAAAAGGAACTTATTGATGATATTGAGGTAAAAAAAAGAGTTTCTTTCCATTTTTGCTTTTAGGTAAAATAATCCAGTAACTTCACAAAAAGTTACGAAGAGGTATCTAGTGTATGTGCATAAGAGGCACACGAAGAAACAAAGTGACAGAGTTACCTGAGTCAGTCAAGCTAAGTTTGTCCCTACCAGGCAATGTGTGCCCTGAGATAGAAACCAGTACATTGTGGAACTGGAGTCCACAGGAATCAACCTGCAGCTCCAGGGCCACGAATAGCATGTTCAGCATTCACAGACTTCTTACCTTTTAAAATTGTGCAGTGAGATCTTGTTTCATTTACCAGTGTCCCTTGCACCGGGAATATTGCCTATCATATATTTGGTACTTAGGGATCCTCTGACTGAATGGATAATTGTACACTGAATTGCAGCTATGCACTGAGTGCTTGCGAGGGGGTGGGAGTCGAATGACAAATTAAACAGAGGTAGATAAATCACAGGCAAAGAAATATTGTTCTTTCCACCTCAGAGAACAGGGTGGAGACTGTCCTGCAGGAGAAGCAAATGAATAAAGCCATTGGGGTGTCTATGATTATTTAAAGAGTTACTCGGAAGGCCAGCCCTGGCTCTTCTCCACTTGCAGCTTCCTTGGGAAAGGCAACCAGACACATGGCTCTTCCTTTAGAGCTTCTCAGCCATCACTGCCAAAATAAATGTGGTCTCCCAGATTTCTGCAGGGCCGGGCCCCATCCCAGACAATGTCTCCTTTCTAGGAGCTCACATTTTAAGTCTTAAGTTTCTTGGCACACAAAATAATAGGGTCCTGGATAAAAATGTCTTTGTCTTTGAAAGGTAATTTGTGGAAATTTTTCTCCGAGTTTACCCTTCATTCTTGAAAAAGTCAGTTAACCCTGACAGAGTAGGCCCTTTGACTGAAGAATAAGAATATATATTCTAGGGACTAGCAGTTAGCATAATGGCTATGTCGCTGGACTCCCATGTAGTCGACCACGGTTCGAGTCCCGGACCCGGTGGCTTAAAACTCACACCGGGCACATGTGTGTGCATGCCCAAGATCCCAAGAAGAGAATGGAGGAAAAGGAATTGCGGCATGGCCATCCCCCCTGGGGGGTGATTTCTCGCTTTCTGTCTCTCTGTCTCTCTCTGTCTGGCAAGCGCACACGCCCTATAGCAAAAACCTCTCCAAAAAAAAAGAATATGTATTCTATTACGTGGACATTAGTGATCATCCTACTAATTAATTTTTTTTAAGGTTTTTGTCACAGGGCATGTGTGTTCACTAGAGAGAGATAGACAGAGAGAGAGAAAAAAAGTGAGAAGTCACCCTACAGGGGGATAGCCATGCTTCAGTCCCTTCTCCTCCATTCTCCTCTCGGGATTTTGGGCACAAATGCACATGCACCCACTGTGTTTTTCAAGCTCCGACTCTGCCATTTGTGATCTAGCTACCTTAACTGTCAAGCCACCCATTGTTGGCCCAGTTACTACAGAATCTTAATCTAAATTTAAGTACTTCATTTTTATCAGTGAGAATTGTGAGGCCCAGGGAAGGCAAGAGGTTGCCAGTAGGGGCCACATGGGAGAAAAGCGGAGACTGTTCTCCTCTGAGGTGCCTGACTTCTCTGGGCTCCAGGAGTCAACAGGCCCTGTCCATGGTGCTTCATCTCATATAAAGTGATGGAAATCCTCCTGAAACCAGTGATTGGGTACTGGGATGCCACTCTAAATAATACTTGAGCTTCAGCTTCTTTCCCAGGCCTTCCCAGGACCTGGGTATCACTGAGGCAACAAGCCGGTGACCTGCGTGGGGTAATGTCTACCTGAAGTCACAGGAAATGAGGACTCACTGCTTTCCCTTTGCTGGTCTTCTCCTTCACACCTGTGATCTTCTCCCCAGTGTTCCTACTTGATTTTACACACAAACACCCTAGAATCCACTTACTGGACCCTCTGAGCTGGATCTGATAGAAGGTGGACAAATCATTTGTTTTCTCCTAAGTAGGGATGACTTAGGCGACCCTGACTGTGAAGCTCTAGCTGTGTTGGTAAGAGTATTGGCTTTCCCACACCTGCGATGGTCAGACAAGACCTCAAAGAAGCTTGTGTCTAGAAGGCAAAAATTTCAGAGTCTAGAAGAAAGAAAGTTAGGATCCCTCTCCACCCTCCAATATTCCTTTTTGTATTTTTGACAGAGACTGAAATATGAAATTGCAGAGGTGATGACAGAGATCGACAATCTAACTTCTGTAGAGGAGAGGTAAATAATTTATGGCTGCACTCGTGTTACTTCGTCTCCTCCCTACTTCACCTCCACCCTCCAGCTGAACTGCAGGGGTGAGAAGGACTGGGGGTCTTTGGAGATGTTCTTTGCTTTTTCTCCCCCCTCATTTTTTCCTGCCTTTCATGGAGAAGTTAGGGGGTACTTCTCTGGATGTTATTTCCAATCCCCCACTTTTTCTAAGTCATTAGTTACCTTTATGGGTTTGGGGATAAGCCCAGGTGCTTCAGAATTATATAGCAATAACCTGTTTGTATCATAACTGCACTTTTTAAAAAATGTTATTTTTTCATCATTAGCTTTTTCCAAAGAAGTATATTGCAAGTTATCAAATGTAAAAAAGAAGCCACACAACTTCTGCTTCTGCCATGCAGTGGGGGGAGCTTCTTCATGAGGGCCTATGTTTTTCTTTCATTAATTCATCGTGAGAGAAACCCACAGAGGGTCTGTTAGACTGTAAAATCATTGCACTCTGAAAACACTCAATAACCACTTTTTAATTGTTTCAAATGAATAGCAAAACTACTCAGAGGAACAAGCAAATAGCTATGGGGAGAAAGAAATTCAACATGGATCCCAAAAAGGTAAGAGAATACTTTTAGTTTTCTGGCATACAAGAGGTCAGATGATCAATTTTAATGGCTGTCTCCCTTTTAGACAGCAGTGGTCCTATTACTTCATAAAAAGACTGGGAGTGGACATTAACTTTCTATCAAAAAGGAAGTACTCATGGGTGGGTAAAGCAGGATCCTGTTGAAGCCCCTGGACGACAAGGCCTTGGTTTTGATGTGAGGGCCTGAGTGGGAAATAGCCTTGCAGGAGGCAGCTCAGACCACCCATCAGGCTGACAGTGGATCCAGGCAGAGCCTTGACTATATGTGGTTATTGCCCTGTGTCTTCCCACTGGCACTAGGTTCTATATCCAGGAATCACAAAATTAGTAAGGGGCAAAGGCTGGAGTGAAATCCAGAAGTACGGAATCTGTAGATGTTATCATCTGGGTGGTTAAGTGGTTCTAGTAAGAGAACTTTATTCTTTCTCTTTGCCTTAAAAAGAGTACCTGTATGAAAGAACAAGGAATCCTCCATATTTACACCTTGGTCTCTCCTCAAGTTGGGTTTCTTGGGTTTTGTTTTGTTTTGTTTTTTTAAACAATGACACCTGAAATGTAAAACTGCTTATTTTTGAGATTGAGCTAAAGTCCACTGGGTCCGGGACTCGAACCGCAGTCAACTACATGGGAGTCCAGAGACATAGCCATTGTACCATCTGCTGGTCCCATCATTTTTTCTTTTCTTTTTTTTTTTTTTAAGGGCAAGTGGAAGTAAGTTTATTAAGTATACAGAATGGGCTACTTCATAGATGGAGCAGTCCCATGAGAGGAGATGGGTGAACATATGATTCTTCCTCTAAGAGGAAAGGGAAAAACGTTACCCTAAAGGAGGGATAGAAGGGCTACTTCATAGGCAGGACAGCCCCAATCTGGATTTTCTTAAAATACACACATCTACAGCTGGAGGAGAGTTTTTGTTTAATTAATATTGTTCTAATCCACTTTGCTGCTAATTACAGAAAATACCTGACACTGGGTCATTTGTAAGAATAGAAGTGTATTGGGAACCAGCAGTTAGCGTAATGGCTATGTCTCTGGACTCCCACGTAGTCGACCGCGGTTCACGTCCCGGACCCAGTGGCTTAAAACTCACACCGGGCACGCGTACGTGTGTGCCTGAAATCACGAGAGGAGAATGGAGGAGAAGGGATTGTAGCGTGACCATCCCCCCTGGCGGGAGATTTTTCACTTTCTGTCTCTCTGGCGAGCGCACGCGCTCTATAGCGAAAACCTCTCCAAAAAAAAAAGAATACAAGTGTATTTATTAGCTCATGGCTTGGAGGTTCAGGACCCAGGGACTGCATCCAGTGAGGGTCTTGTTACTAGTGGTCACGTGACAGGACATTGCAGACCCGCAGTCCATATGTCTGTGTCTAGTATCTCTGGCTTATTTCCTCTCCTTATCAGTCTACTAGGCTTCAGTCATGGAGCCTCCCCAGCCCAGGCCCTGAGACCTTATCCTAATCTCCCCACAGAGGCCTCACCTTTTAACACAGTAGATGAATTTTTCACCCTCTTAATCTAGTCACAGCCAATCTCAATGCATGAATTTGGGTTGGGGTGGGGGAGCACATTCAAGTACTGGCAGGTATACTCTAGCCTCTATGAAGACTTCCCTGATGCTTCCTGATTCTCTGCCTGTGGGACACAGATCGCCTCCAGAATGGGGTGAAATGCTCAATGGGAACGGCTTTGTGAATTTGGTAATAATTTAATATATGATTTGTAAAGCATCTTGGGATGCTTTATAAAAATAGATCTTTTGGGGGAGCTATGGTGGTGTGGTGGTTAAGGCGCTTTCTCTCTCTCTCTGGTCAAATTTAATAATAATAATAATAATAATAGCAGCAACAATGATGAATACAATTAAAATAATTCTAAAAAAATAAAAATGAATCTTTTTCAAACTGGACCTTATGTTTTAAAGAGACCCAAGTGCAGTAGCACACCAGTAAGTTAATGGATAAATTCAACTCTCATCAAACACACACGAACGGATAGTGCTTTTAAACTACTGGGCACGTATGCACACACGCCAGCATGAGTTTAAGCCACCGGGTCCAGGACTCAAACTGCGATCGACTACATGGGAGTCCAGGGACATATGCCAACTGCTGGTCCCCAGGTACATTCGATTCTAAAGTAGCACCTGTGTTTACAAATAAACAAAAGATAAGTTTGATTAGATCAAGGATGTTGAGAAAACTACAGCCTCTCCCCTTCATTCTCAATTTCCTAGAAAAGCCTTAGAAAATAAAATACATAACAAGCAGGAGTTCGTTCAGTGCTGGAAATTGAAGAGTTCCTGAAAGAAGATAAACTGGAGGATCAACTGAAGGAGGAAACCATGCCAAAAACACAGAAAAGAGAGAACTTCTGCAGGAAGTGAGAGCAGTATGCTCAGAGGCAGCTTCAGGGACATCTAGATTATACACTCTGATGAACTCATGCCAAGCAGCAATGTATGCCCCCAGGCCAGGGAAGCAAGAGGGAGCATTGGGAAAATAGTGGGCTGGCAGCACAAAGAAAAAAGAAACACCCATCCTCAAGCAGTGGCCGTCAGCACCGCTCACGTGGCTGCCTGACCTTCTCTTCTGCCAGGATGCTACAGTAAAACCACAAGCTGACAGCATTCGGTTAGGCCATTAAACATAAAGATGAACACCCAACCTAGTACCATCAATCACTTGAGGACGCTAGCACAGTGAAGAGAAAACAAGAATAAACAGACCTAATAGAAACAATAAAAGGATGGGGCTGGCAGGTGGTGGATAAGGGCGCTGGACTCCCACATGGCCAACTGTGGTTCGAGTCCCAGACCTGGCGACTTGCTTTCTCACTTGCTTGCTCGCTCGCTTGCTCGCTCTCTCTCTCTCTTTCTCTCTGGTTAAATTAAAATAAATAAAGTTAAATAAATAATTCTAAAAAAAAAAACAATAAAAGGAAACCTTGAAAAGTAGAATATTTGTATAATAAATATTATCGAAGAGAGAAAATGTTTCTGGGATCAGCAGTTGGAGTAATGGCTATATTGCTGGACTCCCATGTAGTTGACCACAGTTTAAGTCCCGGACTTGGTGGCTTAAACTCACGTTAGGCGTTTGTGCGTGTGTGCTGTTTCTCTCTCTCTCTCCCTCTCCCTCTCTCTCTCTCTCTTTTCCTCATTCATAGAAGAGATAAAACAATAAACTTCAAAAAAATACAATAATGGGGCTAGCAGGTGGCCTGGTGGTTAAGGTGCTGGACTCCCACATGACTAACCATGGTTCTAGTCTCAGATCCCAGCAGCTTGGAAATCATGCCAGATGTGTGTGTGCATTCCCAAAATCCCTAGAAGAGCATGGAAGAGAAGGGGTTGGACGTTGCTGTCCCCCCAGGGGGTGATTTCTCACTTTCCCTTCTCTCTTGGGGGTCTCTCTCTAGCTAATGCATATGTCCTCTGGCAAAAACCTGGCAAAAAAAAGTACAAAAGAAAAACTGTTAAAAAAGAATCTTTACATGGGACCAGCAGTTAGCATAATGGCTATGTCGCTGGACTCCCATGTAGTCGACCGCGGTTTGAGTCCCGGACCCAGTGGCTTAAACTCACGCTGGGCGCGTGTGTGTGCATGCCCAGGATCCTGAGAGGAGAATGGAGAAGGGATTGCGGCATAACCATTCCCCCCAGGGAGGTGATTTCTCGCTTTCTGTCTCTCTGTCTTTCTGGCGAGTACACGCGCCCTATAGCAAAAACCTCTCCAAAAAAAAAGGGAAAAAAAAAAAAGAATCTTTACAAATGAATATACTGATGTAACCAAACCCAGAACAAGAACTTTATAGGGTGCTTTTCTGATATTGCCTCCTAGTAAATTAACTCTCCTATGAAGCTGGTATTCCTTTACCCATTAGTTAGATTTACTTTTAAAAAAAATGTTTTCTAGGGGCCATCAGGCGGCGTGGTGGTTAAGGATGCCAGACTCTCACATGGCTGACCGCAGTTCAAGTCCTGAACCTGGCAACTTACTTTCTCACTTTCTCTTTCTCTCTTTCTCTCTCTCTCTCGCACGTGTGTGCATGTACTCTGTCTCTCTGAGCAAACTGAAAATAAATAAAGTTAAAATAATTCTTTTAAAAATGTATTTTGTAAATGGAATTAAAATATACTCTTTTTTGTCTTTTATTCCATATCATGTCTGTGAGAAGCATTCATGTTATTGAGTGTTCATTCCATTTCATTGCTGCATAATCATTCATAAGAAAAGGTGAATTTATCTCTTTTCTTATTGACCTACTGTTGAGCTGTTTCCAGTTTTTAGAGATTCTAAATAAGATTGCTATGGAAGTAGATGCATTTTTTAAAGAATTATTTATTTAATTTTATTTATTATTATATTTTAAAATTTTGCTATAGGGCATGTGTGTTCACCAGAGAGGGTGAGGGGGAGAAAAGGTAGGGGGAGGGAAAATGAGAAAGCAAGCCACCAGAACTTGAACCGCAGTTGGCCATGTGGGAGTGCAGCACCTTAACCACCACACTGCCTGCGGGCCCCTGTATTTTATGTTCTTTTAATGATAATAGAAATGTCCAGATGAGCTGTACAGATGTGAGGAAGTCCTGGTCTTGGGCACAGAAGGTCCTGGCTGGAAGAGCCTCTCTGAGTTTGTAGAAAACCTCCTTAATAGATGCCAGAACATCCTCCTCCCTTAATAACCTTGCCAGCCTGCATTTTGAGACCAGCTCTGAAGCTGCATCAGAGGCCTTTATATCTGTGTTCAAAGCAGGAGGGAGGAGGAACAGCATCAGTCCATGCATCCCCTTCTACCAGGAAATCAAAAGCTGTCCCAGATGCTCCCTGCAAACTTCTGTTCCTGTCTGTCTAGCCAAATACGTGTCACAGGGTCATTTCTAATCCCAATAAAGGCTGAGAAGGTGACCATCTAGTAAAGGATGGCAGGGAAATTGGGGATTGGGGTGGATACTGGGTTAGCTAACCATCAACAGCTGTCATATATAACATGTTCCTTTCACAAACAAATCCTTGTCCTGAGCTTGGGAAACCTGGTATTATTGTTACTTCCGCCTTTGTAGTCTCTGATAACCACTCATAATGGCTTGCTCAGTAGCCCTTTTATTTGTCTTTTAACCTGTTAAATTGCCAGGAGGAATGAATGTGCTTTTTCTTTGATGGATGAAATGTAGGAGGTGTTGTACAAGTCAGATCGGAGGTTGTATAGATCCCTCTGGCGTAATTTCTGCTTTGTCCAGACCAGCAAGATCATCACATTAAGTGTATGTCAGTCTTTGAAAAGCAAGTGTGAGTGACCTAACACTTCCTATTTACATTCCTCTTCAGGGAATTCAGTTTCTAATAGAAAATGACCTGCTCCAGAGTTCCCCAGAAGACGTCGCCCAGTTCCTTTATAAAGGAGAAGGCCTGAATAAGACCGTCATTGGGGATTACCTGGGTGAGAGGTAAGTTGCAGGAGGATGAGGAGCCCTTCTAGGCCCTCCCAGCCTGTCCTCTGTCCCCTGTAGCTTTCTCTTCACTGGGGGCTGTCACAGCGCTGAGTCATGGGCTAGAGGGGTGCATGTGCTTGCTTCCCTGTACCTAGTGAGCCCTGTGTAGTCACCCTCTCTCCTGCGCCTGTGTTGAGAGCATATTAGGGTAATCTGGGGTCCCGCAGACTGCACTCCCCCGGCATCTTTACTCAGTACTCACAGTGTGGCGGCCTCTTTCCTCTCATTTTGGAAAGCATCTTAATCTTCAGGTGTCTTACCCAGAAATACACCAGAGTTCTCAGTGGTTTTCTTTTCTGTTAGGGCATGAATAAAGGCGAAAAATTACTCATTTTTTTTTTTTTAGAGGTTTTTGCTATAGGGCGTGTGCACTCGCCAGACAGACAGAGAGACAGAAAGAGAGAGAAATCACCCCCCGGGGGGATGGCCATGCTGCAATCCCTTCTCCTCCGGTCTCCTCTCGGGATCTTGGGCACACACACACACATGCGCCCGGTGTGAGTTTAAGCCACCGGGTCCGGGACTCGAACCGTGGTCAACTACGTGGGAGGCCAGCGACATAGCCATTACGCTAACTGCTGGTCCCAAAAGTTACTAATTTTTAAAAAATAAAAGTAGGGACTGGCAGGTGGCATGGTAGTTAAGGGTGCTAGACTCCCACATGGCCGACCGCAGTTCGAGTCCCAAACCTGGCGGCTTGCTTTCTCACTTTCTCTCTCAATCTCTCCCCAACCCTCTAGTCAAATTAAAAATAAAGAATTAAAGGTAAATAAAATAATTATAAATAAATAAATAAATAGTAGCAGGTCAGATTTACTTTCTCAACCTTCTCCACTGAAAAGTTCACTTGCTCTGCTTTAGCAGAGGTTAGGGCAAGAATGCTAAGGTGACACATGTCCCACATCTGCTGAATTAGGCTTTTGTCAAGGACTAGACAAGTTTTTTTTTTAGAGAGATTTTTGCTATAGGGTGTAGACATTCACCAGAGAAACAGAAAGTGAGAAATCACCCCTAGGGGAATATCCACACTGCAATCCCTTCTCCTCCAATCTCCTCTCAGGATTTTGGGCACACATGCACACGTGCTCAGCGTCAGTTTTTAAGCCACTGGGTCCACGACTTGAACTGCAGTCAACTACGTGGGAGTCCAGCAGCATAACCATTATGCCATCTGCTGGTCCCCAGAAAAGTATTTTTAAACAAAAACACATGTCTTGGTCCACTGTTATATTGATTACAGAAATACCTGAGTCTGGGTAATTTATAAAGAATGGAGGTTCATTTGACTCACTCTTCTGGTTACTAGAAAGTCCAGAGGCATGGGGCTGGCAAGCAGTGTGGTAGTTAAGGCACTGAACTCCCACATAACCGACCATGGTTCAAGTCCCAGACCTGGTGGCTTGCTTTCTCACTTTTCCTCTCTCTCTCTCTCTTTCTCTCTCTCTCTCATCAAATAATAACAAATAAAATAAAAATATTTATTTTTAAAAAATGCTCAGAGGCAAAAGGCTGGCATTAGACCAGCTTCACAACATGGAGACAGAGGACAGTGGGTGCATTCAGAGAGAGCATGGTCTGTGTTCTGTGTTGGTCCCTGTCTGCCTCATTTCCTTTTTTTATAAACCTACCTGGTCTCAGTCATGGGTGCCCTCCCCTAACCGCTCAATTAATCTTCTCAAAAGCCCCACCTTTTGGGACTAGAGGTGGTGTGGTGGTTAAGGTACTAAACTCCCACTTGGCCTACCATGGTATGAATCCCAGACCTAGCAGCTTGAAATCATTCTGGGCTTGTGTGTGGCCAAGATCCTGAGAGGAGAACTGAGCAAGGATTGGTGACATGGCCATCCCTCTTGGGGATGGTGTCTCACTTTCCCTCTCACTGTCTCTCTCTGAAAAAGTACATACACCCTATGGCAAAAACCTTAAAAAGCTCTTCCTTTTTCCGCCATCGTGGTGTGAGCGGTCCACTCGGCTTTTTGCCATGTCTTCTCACAAGACTTTCAGAATCAAGCAGTTTCTGGCCAAAAAACAGAAGCAAAATCGTCCTATTCCCCAGTAGATTAGAATGAAAACTGGTAATAAAATCAGATACAACTCCAAGAGGAGACACTGGAGAAGAACCAAGCTGGGTCTAGGAGGAACTGGACAGGAGATGGCCACATATTTATGCTGTACCAAGGTCACTATGGTCTTGCCACATCAAGCTGGAAATGGTCACCACTGACTGGACACTTGTGTTTACTGGGAAAAAATGATGCTTCACTTTGGTTCTAAGTTCTGCATTGGTAGGTTGGTTCGGTAATAAACATGTGAGACCTTTAAAAAAATCTTAAAAAGAAAAGTTCTTAAAAAGGTCCCACTTATCAACCCCATAATTGGTTAGAGTTTTCACCCTCTTAATCCCATTACAGTGGCTCAACACATGGATTTTAAGGGACATATTCACAGTAGACCAGTCCAATGGTTCTAAATCAGGGCGGTTTCTGTCTCTAGCATATGATTGACAGCACTTGATCCACGTGAAAGTGGAATACTTTCCAACTTGTTCTGTGAGACTGGTACCAGCTTACCAAAACCAACCAAAGGCATCACAAGAAAGGAAAACTGAAGACCAATATCTCTTATGCATATAGAAGCAAAAATCCTGAACAATAATTAACAGATCAAATCCAGCAATTATTGAAAGGGTAACGTACCAACTAGGATTTCTCCCGTGAATACAAAGCTAGTTCAATAAACGAAACTCAGTGTTGGTGTTGGTAGGTGGCGTGGTGTGGTTAAGGGCAGTGAACTCTCACTTGACTGACTGAGGTTTGGGTCCCAGACCTGGTGGCTTGCTTTCTTGCTTTTTCCCTCTCTCATTCTCTCTCGACAAATTAAAATAAATAGTTTAATAAAATAATTATTTTTTTAAAAAAACTCAGTGTAAATATTATCAATAGAATAAAAAGCAAACTCCCTCTGATCATCTCAATAAATGCAGGAAGAGCATCTGGCAAAATCCAATACTACTTCATGATAAGAAACACTCAAAAAACTAGAATTAGAAGAGAACTTCTTCAGCATGATGGGCAACACCTATGAAAAGCCCACAGCATAACATCACACTTAGGGGTTAAAGACAGAATGGTTTTCTGTAAGATCAGGAGCAGGTCAAGGATGCCAATCAGCTGTCATCACTGCACTGCTGCTCAGCATGGTATTGCCATCTCCAGCCAGGACGGTTAGGCTAGAAAATGAAGATAAAACCATCTGGATTGGAAAAGAAGAAATAAAACTACCTCTACTTGCAGATGACATAATCATATATATAGAAAATTTTTAAAAATCACTAAAAAAGGGGCTAGCAGGAGGCATGGTGGTTAAAGGCACTGAATCCCCACATGGTTCAAGTCCTGGAACTGGTGGCTTGCTTTCTCACTTTCCCTCTTTCTCTGTCTCTCTCTGATCAAATGGAAAATAATAATAATAATAAATAAAGTTAAATAAAATAATTCTTAAAAAATTTAATCACTAAAAAAAAACCAGAACTAATTAACAAATTAAGATCACAGGATACAAAATCAATATGCAAAACTTAATTGTATTTTTATACAGTAGCAATGAGCAACTGAAAAGAAAACAGCTTCAGGGCTAGCAGGTGGCATGGTGGTTAAGGCTCTGGGCTCCCACATGGCTGACTGTGGTTCAAGTCCCAAGCCTTACAGCTTGAAAAAAATCCCTATGGGCACATGTTTGTGCGTGCCCAAAATCTCAAGAGGAGAATGGAGAAGAAGGGATTGCAGCGTGGCCATTCCCCCAAGTGCAAACATGATTTCTCACTTTCCCTCTCATTGTCTCTGTCTCTCTTGGGTGCACACACATACCCTATGGCAAAAAGCCATAGATAGATAGGTAGGTAGGTAGGTAGGTAGGTAGATAGATAGATAGATAGATAGCAAAAAGCCCTAGATAGATAGATAGATAGATAGATAGATACAAAGAAATGGATTAAGGGTCTGTATGTAAGAAGTAAACAGCAGACGAACAGACAAACCCTGGCCTGAACACCAGAACATCCACTCACTGGCAAGGTACAGCACCTCACACAGCCTGTGTCTGGTGCAGCCTGTGGGTGGGGCTGCTGGAATCCAGGCACTTTGCTGTCTTGGGGTGTCCTAAGCATTCCTTGTGACCAGGGCAGCTTCTATGAGTTAAAAGCCAGGGAAGCATATTGATTGTGTTGCATAGCTTTGCTTTTTAGGGTCATCCTTTATATTTAAATAAATATCAGACCTTTTATTGTATTCTCACATTTAAATTAGTTTATAAAATCAAATATAAGGTTCCCCCCAAAAAAAACTTTTCTTTGTTTTGTTTAAACAGTTTTGTTTTGTTTGGAGAGGTTTTTGCTATAAGGTGCATGCACTCACCAGAAAGACAGAGACAGAAAGAGAGACAGAAAGTGAGAAATCATCCCCCCAGGGAGGATGACCACACTACAATCCCTTTTTCTCCATTCTCCTCTTGGGATCTTGGACATACACGCATACGTGCCTGGCGTGAGTTTAAGCTACCAGGTATGGGACTCAAACCACAGCCGACTACATGGGAGTCCAGCGACATAGTCATTATGCCAACTGCTCGTCCCCCCCAAAAAACTTTCTTGTCTGAAGCCAATGTATGCTTTATGGCTTACAGCCTTGGGCAATTTGCTTTATTTCTCTTAGCTTCAAAAATCCCCCTTTATGAAATGGGAGAAGTTATAGGGCCTGTCTAAGGGTCAGCATTTAGAATAGCAGGATGCACTGGGAGGGCCTTACAGCTTAGCCTGTGAGTGCTCATAGAGTGTGTGTTGGGGGGGGTATCATTTAAGGGTTTCTCACAGTTTCCTTTCCCTGACTGCCCAATCATGAAAGAAGATTTAAAATATCCTATTGATCTTCCTCTACAGTAAGCCAATTTACAGTGGAAAAAAAATCTTAACTTTTAGTCATACCCGTAAAACAAAAACTCTGACTGAGGAAATGTTTTTCTTTTGAAATGATAGAGGTAACAGGCATTAGGCTTAAAACGTGTTTCCTTTCTTTCCTAGGGATGAATTTAATATTAAAGTTCTTCAAGCTTTTGTTGAACTCCATGAGTTTGCTGATCTGAATCTCGTACAAGCCTTAAGGTAAGCATCTAACTGTACCCTGGGAGTAGACCAGATACAGAGGCCATGGAAAGGCTGGTCTTGGACAGTGGTGGTTGATCCATTTGGTGACTCAGCCACACATCTTCGCGGACGCCGGCCCCTTCCTCCACAGCATCCTCTAACAGCCCCACACAGAAATGACGCGTGTGCTAGGGTAGTTGGCATACCATCCTCATTGTGACCACCAGTTCTGCGTTCCGTTCGTAGTTCCCATGCTCCTTGCATATTTAGTGACACCTGAGTCTTCAGTGCGTTCTTCCCTCTCCTGCTGCATGCTCTGCACTCTGGTCCACTTCACAGGAGATTTGGCCCCAGCACCAAGTGCATAGATGCCCTAGAGTACCAGGGAGAAGGTAGACTTTGCCCCACTGGAGGCCACTCCTTGGTCCTATGTCATCCAGAGGAAGCTCAGCGTCACTGGGCATCATCCCAGGTGGATAGAGGAAGATCATCTTGTGCGGCCAGTCATGACATACAGTCCTTGCCTGGATGCCTTGAGCCGCTCCTGCACCGTCTGGAGCGGTGAAAGGAAGTCTTCTTCCTTGGTGTCTTCTTATGGTCTGGGTCTTGACCCTGAGCCACCATCCAGGTGATCTATCCAGCCTGGGCCCTGTTAGGGGTTGGGAGCTCCCTCTGGAAGGAGACTGTTCTTGTGTGAAGAAAATGATGACCATGTTTTGTCTGGTTCACATTCTCAGACCTTAGTGTGCGTGTATGTGACCTGTTTCCTCGGGGCCTTACTTAGCTGCAGACCGAAATGCTGGCAGCGTTTCTCTGATCATTTTGACATTGTGCTCATGGCAGCCTGGGACCCAGCCACGCACTGACAACACAGATGTGAATCCTGCAGCTATAATTCACATTTTCCAGACTCGGTTGTTGTTAACTATGTCCAGAGAGAAGCATAGGCCTCACGTGTCTGAGAGGGGTGTGGTAGCATGGCCACTGCACTTGTGTTCCATTTCTTCTAGATAATGTGTCTCTGACCCCAGAGCTAAAGAGGGTCCTAATAAATCCACAGGTGTTGAAGTCTGGCCTTACCTCTGACCAGGGATGGTCAGAGCGCTACTGCCATGACCCTGCCCAGTAGACCCTCAGGCTCTGCCTATCCCGTAGCTCCTCTGCTGTCCTGAGGCCCAGGTGGAAGGAGCATAGGTGACGATCCCAGAGCTCCCCAGCTGGGAGGGGCTGGAGGAGGGCATGGATAATAGGTATTTCTGAAATGTAAGCTACGTAGGCTGTCAGAAGGAACTGGTTGTGGTAGAAATAAAGAACAGCAGAGCTGGGTGAGGGTCCTCAGGCTGGCTGGAAGGGAGGCCTGGGCCTGTCAGGGGAGAGGAGTGGAGAATCAAGCAAGGCACGTAGGGCGGGCAGCCCACCTGGGGCCTGTCACTTGTGGCAGGTGAGCGACGGGTGGGGGAGGTAGTCTGATGGCTGTCTGGACCTGCCAACCAGGAAGCTGGGTCTGGGCTAAGAAGGGCCCAAGTGGCTGGATCCCCAAAAGAGGCCTGAGCGAGAAGAGGAAGGGGTGGGACAGCAGGGAGCATCCCCATTTAGGGGAGATGCAGAGGAAGGAGAACCCTGGAGGGCCCAAGAATGGCGTCTCCCTGGTGTGACTGCTAGTAGGAACAATGTTTCAGAACCACATTCAGTCCAGAAGCTTAGTCAGAGCACGTGGTCTAACTCAGCCCTGATCCTGGGGCTGGGGCAGCTGCTACATCAGACACTGCTGAGCGACTGGTGTGTGTGACCTGGTTGTCGGTGGGACCTGGGAAGATCAGGACAGGCCACAGCCCCCGCCCCTGGGCTCCCAGCCAGACAATAAATCGGGGAGAAGAGCTGGTGGTGGTGGACGCCAGGGTGCCTTGCAGCTGAGGGGAGCAAAGAAGGGGGTGGGGGAGTACTGTTAGGTTGGGCAACCAGGGGAGACCTCAGGGAGAAAAGGGGATCTGCCTGCCTGGATGTCGTCCCTGAGACAGAGTGAGAGCGTCTGCCCAGCAAGGCAGCACCAGGTTCTGGCTGTGACACCTGACAATGTCGATGCTGCCTTGGAAATTGTCCTGCTGGCTCTGGCTTTGCCCTGTGGTTGGGTGTCCCAGGAGGACAACAAAGTCTCATTTACACTCTTAGGACCACATGGTGACTATGGGGATCTGGCAAGGCTCTGCGGATTACCTGGTAGGTGCAGGAGATGGTAGCAGTAGGGTTGAAGAAGTGTTAGGATTCTGGCTTCTTTCTTTCCTTCCCTTCCCTTCCCTTCCCTTCCCTTCCCTTCCCTTCCCTTCCCTTCCCTTCCCTTCCCTTCCCTTCCCTTCCCTTCCCTTCCCTTCCCTTCCCTTCCCTTCCCTTCCCTTCCCTTCCCTTCCCTTCCCTTCCCTTCCCTTCCCTTCCCTTCCCTTCCCTTTTTTTCTTTCTCTCTCTCTCTCTTTCTCTCTTTCTTTCTTTCTTTTTCTTTCTTTCTTTTCTCTCTTCTTGATTTTTGCCTGGATGTAGTCCCTGTAAGGTGCATGTGCCTGCTGGAGAGAGACACAGAAAGACAGTAAGAAAGTGAGAAATCACCCCCTGGGGGAATGGCCACACTGCAGCCCCTTTTCCTCCATTCTCCTCTGCGGGTTTTGGATACGCGTACGTGCACCCAGTGTTATTTTCAGGCTGCTGCATCAGTACTTGAACTGCAGAGCTGGCCATGTGGGATCCAGTGCCTTAAGTGCCACCACACCTGCCGGACCTAGGATCCCAGATGTTTTTAAGGCAGAGGCAACAGGTCTTGCTGATGAATTGATTGTGGGCAGTCAGTACCTGTCTGGAATTATTAACTGGAAGGAACTATCTTGAGTCTTTTTCTCTCTTGGCTTCTGCTCTCAATACCCCTGCTAGAGCTGCACCCTGGCCGGGAGGAAAGTATCCTTCCTGGAGCTGGGGCTGAAGCTGCTCTGGCCATGAGGCTGAGTTCGTTCTTAGGTAGGGCCACTCCTTGAGGTTTCTGTGTCTCTGCAGACAGTTCTTATGGAGCTTCAGACTTCCAGGAGAGGCTCAGAAAATCGATCGCATGATGGAGGCTTTTGCTTCACGCTACTGCCTGTGCAACCCCGGGGTCTTCCAGTCCACAGGTTGGTAGCACTTTCTTTCTTTCTTTCTTTCTTTCTCCCTTTCTTTCTTTCTTTCTTTCTTTCTCCCTTTCTTTCTCCCTTTCTCTCTCTCTCTCTTTCTCTCTTTCTTTCTTTCTTTTTCTTTCTTTCTTTTCTCTCTTGATGATTTTTGCCTGGATGTAGTCCCTGTAAGGTGCATGTGCCTGCTGGAGAGAGACACAGAAAGACAGTAAGAAAGTGAGAAATCACCCCCTGGGGGAATGGCCACACTGCAGCCCCTTTTCCTCCATTCTCCTCTGCGGGTTTTGGATACGCGTACGTGCACCCAGTGTTATTTTCAGGCTGCTGCATCAGTACTTGAACTGCAGAGCTGGCCATGTGGGATCCAGTGCCTTAAGTGCCACACCACCTGCTGGACCTAGGATCCCAGATGTTTTTAAGGCAGAGGCAACAGGTCTTGCTGATGAATTGATTGTGGGCAGTCAGTACCTGTCTGGAATTATTAACTGGAAGGAACTATCTTGAGTCTTTTTCTCTCTTGGCTTCTGCTCTCAATACCCCTGCTAGAGCTGCACCCTGGCCGGGAGGAAAGTATCCTTCCTGGAGCTGGGGCTGAAGCTGCTCTGGCCATGAGGCTGAGTTCGTTCTTAGGTAGGGCCACTCCTTGAGGTTTCTGTGTCTCTGCAGACAGTTCTTATGGAGCTTCAGACTTCCAGGAGAGGCTCAGAAAATCGATCGCATGATGGAGGCTTTTGCTTCACGCTACTGCCTGTGCAACCCCGGGGTCTTCCAGTCCACAGGTTGGTAGCAGGGCTTGCATCCCTAACCCCTCGTTAGTCAAAGCCTCTGGCCATGGAGGAGGGAGTCCTGGTGGCCATGGCCTTCACGCTTGTTCCTGGGAGCCTACTCTCCTCGAGCCTAGATGGCCCTGCCTGTGACCACCTACTGGACCCACCCACACCCACCGGGCTTTGCTACTTCAGAGGATGGGCTGCAGGCAAACGTGCCTCCCGCCAGGCCTCCTGGGTGTATCCCCCACACTCCTAGGTTTCCATCTGCGTTGTTCTTGGGGGCACTCAGTCCCCGTGTAGAAGTGCTGGCTTACCTCGGGCATCTGAGCCTTGGCCTTCCTTCACTCATTGCAGACACATGCTACGTGCTGTCGTTCGCCATCATCATGCTCAACACCAGCCTGCACAACCACAACGTGCGCGACAAGCCCACGGCAGAGCGCTTCATAACCATTCTTTCTTTCTTTCTTTCTCCCTTTCTTTCTTTCTTTCTTTCTTTCTCCCTTTCTTTCTCCCTTTCTCTCTCTCTCTCTTTCTCTCTTTCTTTCTTTCTTTTTCTTTCTTTCTTTTCTCTCTTGATTTTTGCCTGGATGTAGTCCCTGTAAGGTGCATGTGCCTGCTGGAGAGAGACACAGAAAGACAGTAAGAAAGTGAGAAATCACCCCCTGGGGGAATGGCCACACTGCAGCCCCTTTTCCTCCATTCTCCTCTGCGGGTTTTGGATACGCGTACGTGCACCCAGTGTTATTTTCAGGCTGCTGCATCAGTACTTGAACTGCAGAGCTGGCCATGTGGGATCCAGTGCCTTAAGTGCCACACCACCTGCTGGACCTAGGATCCCAGATGTTTTTAAGGCAGAGGCAACAGGTCTTGCTGATGAATTGATTGTGGGCAGTCAGTACCTGTCTGGAATTATTAACTGGAAGGAACTATCTTGAGTCTTTTTCTCTCTTGGCTTCTGCTCTCAATACCCCTGCTAGAGCTGCACCCTGGCCGGGAGGAAAGTATCCTTCCTGGAGCTGGGGCTGAAGCTGCTCTGGCCATGAGGCTGAGTTCGTTCTTAGGTAGGGCCACTCCTTGAGGTTTCTGTGTCTCTGCAGACAGTTCTTATGGAGCTTCAGACTTCCAGGAGAGGCTCAGAAAATCGATCGCATGATGGAGGCTTTTGCTTCACGCTACTGCCTGTGCAACCCCGGGGTCTTCCAGTCCACAGGTTGGTAGCAGGGCTTGCATCCCTAACCCCTCGTTAGTCAAAGCCTCTGGCCATGGAGGAGGGAGTCCTGGTGGCCATGGCCTTCACGCTTGTTCCTGGGAGCCTACTCTCCTCGAGCCTAGATGGCCCTGCCTGTGACCACCTACTGGACCCACCCACACCCACCGGGCTTTGCTACTTCAGAGGATGGGCTGCAGGCAAACGTGCCTCCCGCCAGGCCTCCTGGGTGTATCCCCCACACTCCTAGGTTTCCATCTGCGTTGTTCTTGGGGGCACTCAGTCCCCGTGTAGAAGTGCTGGCTTACCTCGGGCATCTGAGCCTTGGCCTTCCTTCACTCATTGCAGACACATGCTACGTGCTGTCGTTCGCCATCATCATGCTCAACACCAGCCTGCACAACCACAACGTGCGCGACAAGCCCACGGCAGAGCGCTTCATAACCATGAACCGCGGCATCAATGAGGGCGGGGACCTCCCTGAGGAGCTGCTGAGAGTGAGTCTGCCAGAACCCTGCTTCCGAGCTGATCTGGGGGTGGGGACATGCACAGGTATTTCTTCTCTTTATCCCTTAACTTGTCTTCAGTTTGCAGGATTTCAAAGTCTGTGAAAATTGGCAGTGCCAGTTTATTTTAAATACATCTTTCAGGGGTCTGTGCTTCCCTGGCCCTGCTGAGCTTCGAGGTTACCCTGCCTTGGGGAGAGATGGGCAAAGCCTGGCTGCCTCTCCTGTTTGAATCCCTGAGCTTGCTGGTTTTTCCTTCTTACAGAATTTATATGAAAGTATTAAGAATGAACCATTCAAAATCCCAGAGGATGATGGGAACGACCTGACGCACACGTTCTTCAACCCGGACCGGGAAGGCTGGCTCCTGAAGCTGGGTGAGCAGCAGCCTCCCGCCTGGGGCTGGCCTGGCTGTGCGCAACCGGTGGGACCCCTCCGCCCACCCCACGGCAGCACCTCCCGCGGGGCTTCTCCCCAGCTCCTCATCATAGCGAATGCCCCTAACAGCGAGGCAGAAACGCTACAAAGAAAGTGCATTTAAGCTATGGTCTGCTCTAGGTAGCCGCACGTCCCAGAACCGATGGCCGCTTCTCGGAATTGTGACATTTCAGAGCGAGGTTGCCCTCTGTGTCCACGGCAGAGAATAATGGCCAGGCTGCACGACCCGTCCCAGAAAACTGCCACGTTAGTGTCCTGATAAATCCAGGGCAGTTTTCTGTATGAGAAGCAAGCGCATTATCTCCAAAGAACCTGTGTGCCTTTCTCTTGGTTTGGTGTGGCTGTGATTTCTGATGAGTGGTTTAAACGTGCCTTCTTGTTGTTTTCCTTCTGCCTGTGGCTCCCACCTTTCTGTTCTGTGACGGGCTGCCCCTGCTTGTCCTGCGTTAGGAGGTACGTACCCAGTGGCTTCCTGCCCCCTCCCTCAGCGGCTCGTTCCTCTCCCGTTTCTCTCCCCCACGGTGGTCTGTGTGAAGCTCTGATGTGTGGCTGCCATTCATCTGATCCATTTGGCTTTGGACTTGCTGGGGTCGGCGTCGTGCACGGTGTGGTGAATGTGACACCCGCCCCCAGGGGCAGGGTTGAGAGTGGCCAGGACCGGAGAGCTTGGTGACACAGCGTGGGAACAGGCTTGCCCCCCCCATGTCCTTAGGGGCTCTGTAGCAGTGAGGCAGCTGATAACCAGCCCTGTTCCTGCAGCACTGCAGTCACCCTCATACTAACCAAGCAAGCATGTTTGCATCCCTGTGGAAAGATTCCGAAACGTTATAAAGGCTTCCTCACCATCCACAAAGGAGTCGAATGGCCTTTATACTCTGCGGGCAATTTTAAGAATTGCCATGGGTTATTTTGACTCTGGAGGGGGGAGAGCTTTGCCTCAAACTGATAGTAAAGCCTTCAAGATGTAACAACTGTATTTTGTCCAGGCATTTTTAAGGACAGATTGTTGCTTTGGAGCAAGTAGAATACTAGGGCTGAAGAATTCTGGTGATTTTTTTTTTTTTAATGGAGAAGGATAAGACACAGCATGATGGTAATATACCAGTAAAGGCTTGCCTCTGCCGGCAAGATAGGAGGGCACACCATGGACTGCTGTTCCCACTGGGGTCTCTGACCTTGGCTATTGCTCCTCAACTTTTCTCGGACTTTGCCAAGGTTAGGAATGTTCTGGATCTTTACCTAAAACCTAGTGTCATAGTCGTGGACTTTGGTGCCTGAGCAACCGTAGATACACACCATACTCTAAATCATTCGTGCCTGTGGTCCTGGAACTAGGGCAGGGGAGGAAAGCATCCAGAAACCCATGGTGCACTTGGGCAGCAGGTGAGTGTTCTTGCACTAGATGCCTTCCTGTGGCACCTGTATGCTGTCCAGTGTCCTTCCTGGGACAGAGACGACAGTGCCTACCTGGCTGCTGGTGTGTCCTCAGTGCCACCTGGGAGGAGGCTGACTCTAAAGACAGGAGTGAGTGAGTGAAATAAAGACATAGCCCAGCTTGTGTTTTCTAACCCATTTTCTGGTTGGGCAGATAAACATGCCACGGAATGAGTGCAGAGTACTTGTAGGAGCTGCAGACCTGGCGTGGCACCAAGTGGGTGCCGAGGAGGGACCTGGTTTAGGAATTGCAGCCAGAAGCGCATGGGTTCCTCTGGGCAAGCCAGCTGCTGTCCAGCAGCCTTGGCTCCCTCTATCCCCTCTTGCCCTGCAGCCTCTGTCTCCACCCTGTTCTCAGGAGTGTAGTCTTGTGGGTTGTCACTGTCTATAGAGTGGGTTTCAGCTAGCAGTGGGATGGTCTAGCTGAAGACCAGTGGAGTGGTCTTCTGGGGACATGGTGCTGGCTGGATCCACAGTGTGTGTTGCCAGGCAGGTACTTGTAGGAGTGTGACCTTGCTTGTTGCATTCCCATCATAAGTTTTAGCAGGTAGCTCTTTCCACCCACAATAATTTGCTGTAGGGTATGTGCACTTGCTGGAGACAGAGAGAAGGCAAGTGAAAAAGGATCCCGTGGGGGATGGCCACTTCAGAATCCCTTCTCCTCTACTCTCTTCTCGGGATTTTGAGCACACATGCATGTACACATGCCTGGAGTGTTTTTTCAAGACAGTGGGTCTGGGACTTGAACCATACAGTCAGCCATGTGGGATCCAGTATTTTAACCACTATGGAACTTGGCTGGCCCCTAGGTGGCTCTTCTAAAAGGCCTGGATACAGGGCCGGCAGGTGGCGTGATAGTTGGGGTGCTAGACTCCCACATGGCTGACCACAGTTTGAGTCCCAGACCTGGTGGCTTGCTTTGTTTTTTTTCTTTTTCTCTCTGTCTCTCTCTTTCTCTCATTAAATTAAAAAATAATAACAATAAATAAAATAATTCTTTAAAAAAAAAGAAGACCTGGATTTTGCTGGAGCATAGTAGCTTGCATGGCTTATGACTGTTAAGTAAATAACTTAAGATATTGAGCTTTGAAAATTATTTGTGTATAAAAACATGTAATGGGTCAGAACTGAGCTATCAGAAAGAAAAAAGTGTGTGTGTGTGTGTGTGTGTGTGCACTCTGCATGTCCATGCATGTGTATAGGGGTGTGTGCATGCACATGTGCACACGCCTTGTCACAGCAATGGGAATAGAGGGGAATTTGCAGCGAGAAAGTGGGTGCTTACACTGTAGAAGGAGCCATGCGCCCTGCAGGCCTGAGAGTTGTGTGGAGTGTCCTTCCAGCAGAACCTGCTATGGCTCCAAGCCCAAGATATTGCCCCTGGTTCCTACTGAGCTAAAAGGGCTTGGGCTGGGCTGAGCTCATTCTGGCCACCTGTAGTCCTGGCCTGCAAAGCTCCCCTGGTCACAAGGACCAGGCAAGGCTGGGGCTGCACAGACACGCCCCAGATGTGGGAGCAAAGCTACCTCCCGAAGCAACCATTGGCATCACATTGGTGATGAGCTTGGGGCCAGGACACACAGACAGGCCCTACCTACCCACTGTGACAGGAGAAGAAGGAAAAGAGCAGGCACTAGACAGAGACAGCAGCATAGCCACTTCTGGAAAGTTCTGTGAGATCTCATGCTCAGGCCTCACACTGAGGCTAGACCCAGGGCTGGTGAGGGAGAGGCCAGGGTTTGGGTCTTAGACTGGGTGCAGTGGGATCCTTTGGGGGCTGTAGCAGGTAGGGATGTGGCCAAGGTATTTTTTTCAAAAGATGCCTCTGGCTGCTGTTTGGGAACCGTGGGGGCAGGAGAGCAGCACAGGGCACCAGCGTTACATGGAGGGGCCTATTCTGGATGTCCTCAGGGAACGGGGGGAGGCAGAGGTGATGGCAGCAGTCAGTGGGGGTGCTGTCAGCTGATGCAGTCACAGTGCCCTGTGGGGTGGGGTGGGGGAAGTGCCTTAAAAGAACCAGCGTGTCATCCTTTTCTCGTGGTCTCGGGGGGTATAGGATGCCTCTCTCTGTCCCCTTGTCAGTGGCTGACTTTGGGATAAGACAGGGTTGCCCAAGGAGACAGGTTGTCTCCTAGCCCCCACCCCTGTGTGGATGTGCGCCTCCTGTTTAGCTCCAGCAGGTGGGAGAGGTGTGGGCTGAGGACTGGCATGAAGGCTGAAGTGAGAGAAGGGCTGTAGGGCTCCCCCCGGGCCTTGCCGTGGCGGTGCCCAGTCTGTGCTGGGTCTTCAATGGGGTGAGTGAGACAGGCCCACTGCACTGGGCAGGGAGGGGTGGAAGATTGCAGGGATGGAGCTGTGGACAGGATCTTGGGGAGTAGGGCCCAAACCAAGGCTCCAGAGAGACGTTGGAGAGAAGGGATGTCATTCCAGGCCAGAGGAGTGGCCCGAGCAAAGGTGCGAAGATGCAAGCTGGGCAGGGGAAATGGTTGGGCTAGGTGGTCTGAAGGGCGTGGTCAGTGTTGAGACAGCGCCTTCCCACAGGTGAGGTGGTGGGACACCGGTGAGGAAGGAACCATGTGACAAGTCTGCCTGGGCATAGGGACAGCTAGACTGTCAGACTGCTTCCCCTTGCTTCACCCTTGCAGGCTACCTTAGGCCATCAAAGGACAGAAGGTCTGATGGGTGAGGCAGGGATGGGTTCCCAAATAGGCTGTAGAGACCCTTCTCTGCCAGGCATGGTCAGGATTTCCTCCGGCCCTACAGCAGGCGGCTTCTCACACTGCGTGTCTGCCAGCTGAAGCCCAGTCAGAGACCAGGAAGCCCTCCTGCCTCAGCCTGCAGACACTCACGTCTGAGAATCCCACCCAGCATCGCTTCACGCCGCCCTGTGACTGAGAGGCCTCTCCTCCATCCCTGCCTCCAGTCTTAGCACTCTGTGCTGGGGGGTGTCTGTGACCATCGTTCCCCTCGCGTGTCACAAAGGGACTGGGCAAACCCCCCCACACCCCAGAGAGTGCTGGGGTGGGAGGGCACTTCTCCCCGAGACCCCAGGTAGCTTTTGGATCTGTTACATGTTGTCGTTTTTTGGTTCTTTGTTTTGTTTTGTTTTGTTTTTATTAAAGGAAAAAAAAAAAAAAAACTCATATCAGAAGCAAGGGCTAGCAATTGAAGTCACTTGCCTCTGCTGAATGTTGAAGCGTAATGAAGATCTCCTTTCCCGTCGTAAAAGGAGAGTAGGTGGAGATGGACCAGATGTGTGTGCATGTGTGTGTGTGTACACATGTGCTCCAGATCTTGTTAAAAGGTTAATTCAATCTACAATTCCCTGGGCCAGGGGATAATTGATGTCGATGGGTCCCAGGGATGCCCAGAGGCCCCGGTAATGTGGTAACCACCCTGACGTAACAGGATTAAGCCCGGCAGACCTGGTGAGCGGCACTGACTTCATCATGCTGTCATCTCATGGGGGGAATTTACGCCCATCCATTACCACTAACTTTCCAGGAAGCAGATTTGAAAAGCGACTGTGTCATCTAGAGTGACCCAGGGTCGCCATGGAGCGGCACCTGTGCAGGCCCAGGGGTGGGGGTGCATGCGGGCCCAGCCAGGCACCCAGCCACCCCCTGGCTGGCCAGCCACTCAGCTTGTCCAGGACTCGGCTGCCCGTGCTCAGAATGTCCAACACTGTCACAAGGAGGAAACTTAAAACCAAGCTTGGCTCCCAGTGGCCTTTCTGAAAATACAGGCATTCGTGTGGGACCCAGGCCCCTCTGCGGGGCCCTCAGGCTCTCTGCTGTGCAGGGGAGTGGGGTGCCTGCTCACAGGACTCTTCTGCTTCTAGGAGGGCGCGTGAAGACCTGGAAGCGGCGGTGGTTCATCCTGACGGATAACTGCCTCTATTACTTCGAGTACACCACAGTAAGTAAGGGGCGCCTGCCCGGCCTCCGCACTGCCACACCGCGGGCCTCCTCCGGGTGACTCGCGTGAGGCTGGCCGTGCACTTCCTCTCGTAGGATAAGGAGCCCCGGGGAATCATCCCACTGGAGAATCTCAGCATAAGAGAGGTTGAAGACCCACGGAAACCTGTAAGCTGCCTTTGTTTGCCGACATTGCTCTCTCCTGCCAGTCTGGCGCCCAGCAAGGCACCTGAACATGGGTGTGAGCTTCTTCCCCAGGACCCCCCGTGACAACACCCCCCTTCTCTCTCCACTAGAACTGTTTCGAGCTTTATAACCCAAGCCACAAAGGGCAGGTCATCAAAGCCTGTAAGACAGAAGCCGATGGCCGCGTGGTGGAGGGGAACCATGTGGTGTACCGGATCTCGGCCCCGAGCCCTGAGGAAAAGGAGGAGTGGATGAAGTCTATCAAGTGAGTGGGGCCGTGTTCCTGACGGCCAGGCCGGGGAGCAGGAGGGTGTGTGACCGCCCTGCAGACATGAACACGCTGTGCACGGTCTCCCGGGCACGGAGGCCAGCTCTCGGAGTGCAGTCTGCCGTTCTAGGGCCCTAGGGATGCGGCAGGTCTGACTTTCTCCTCCGACCTAACCTGTTTGCTTTGCCTTTTTCACCAGAGCAAGTATCAGTAGGGATCCTTTCTATGACATGCTGGCAACAAGGAAACGGAGGATTGCCAATAAGAAATAAGGCTTTCCTGGCTTGAGCAGGCGGAAGTAAAGACCCAAACCCCACAGCAGAAAGTGACTGGAGACCTCCCTCAACACCTCGGGCTGCTCACCCGCAGACCGTGTGGCGGGGCGCCGCAACCCCGTGTCATGCTCACAGCTTCTCCAGAACCTCCATCCACTGCCCCCTGTGCGTCCCCTGCATCCTGCGCTGTGGGCTGGGACTGTGGCCGGCTGGGAGCATCAGGGAGCGACTCCGTCCTGCCTCCACCCCAGCACCCACAGTCGGGCAAGTCTACGATGTGTTCCCAGTTCTAGCAGCAGCAGCGCCAGTGGTTCAGCCCGGAGATCTGTGCAGCAGGCGGGCCTCGTTTCCATAGATCGGAGCCGGTTGTACCAGCCGTGCCGCTCGCCTTTATTTTTGGCGGTGTTAATCGTTCTAGAAGCTGCTGTTTTATATCAAAACAGGAAAGGAAAAGCTACCCATTTTTTATTCAGAATTTTTTTTCTCAGATATATAGGATTATAGCTTTTATATGCCTTTTTATATTCTGAAATTATAATGAAAATACTTTCTAACAGTAGTATTTTTAGAATGGCAGCTATAAATTTAACTCTTGGACACACATATATACTGTGCACTGAAAAAAAAAGTATATATCTATAATGCAGCACCTGTGGGAGGGACCCGGGAGGGCGTGCGTACTGTGCGGGAGCTGGCCGCTCCTCAGGCTCAGGGGCAGCCGACTGGCTGCTCTGGGGAGGGAGGCACCTGGTGTCCTTGAGGACACTTGCAGGGCCTCCAGGTCTCATCACTCCTGCAACCTCCCTTCAACCCAGACTTGTTAGTCCCATAAATATTTTCTGAAAAAGCAAATCATTAAGATATAATGACCATGCTTTGGGATGTTTGTCCTGTAACTGCTGAATCCTAGAAAACAGCTTTTTCTCTGGACACAGATTATCTGCATGTTGAACCACATGAAACTGCTGATACTCAATAGTTGACTGTTTTTGACCTAAGCAAGTGCAGTTTCATAAGGTTCAGCTGAACACGTAGCTCCAACCAGCTCTTGACCACATGCGTTGCTATTAAAACCTTTTGGCAAGATACTTATTTTACTGACATTATAATAATTTGACAGATTTTTTTTGATGTAATGAAGACATATCAGTAACTAGAAATCATCTTATTCCTTGTGTAGTCCATGTTTTCAGAGATTTGATCTTCCCTTGTGAGGAGGGAAAGAACAAGCTATGCGTGGCACTTAGGGTATTCTGTGAGCAGTTCAGCCCTCCCCCCAACCCCATCACACACACAGGTGGTGGACTTGGGGACCCCATGGCAGGAGGTGCTTAGTGTGTTTGCTGGAGAAGTGTGAATGTGGATCCCCACATGGAGCTGTCAGAACTAGACGGGATGAGGCTGCGGTGCTTGGGGTGAGACAGGGCTGGGGACAGGTGCCTGTCTCCCTGGAGCTTTCTCTCTGCCTCCAGGAGGCCTGTTATCCCATGTAGAAGCCTCTTGCCCATGGGGTGTTCTGCCTCACCTGCATAGATGCCCCATAAACTTGCACCCTTTGGAGGCCATTTGTACATGTGTACCAAATGAACATCCAGAAAGAAAACCTCAGACAGTATGCACTTAGGTGCCGTTCTGAATAGCAGAAGTTACTGTTGTGAGCTGCTGTGACAGGCGCTGAGTGGCTGGGGACCCTTGGCCTCTGTGCAGCTGACCTTGTAGCTTTAAGTCACACTAGACTAAGGCCATAACTCTCCATCATGCTTCAGACTTTTTGTTTGTTTTTATTCCCAAGCTAGTAGGCTTTCTCACTGTACTGATACCTCAAATTTTAGTTTTTGAGAAAGGCAAGTCAGCATTCTTGACATGCCTGACTGATATATATGCAACTCTGGCCTCCCGTCTTCCATGGAAACAGAGACGCTGTCTGGACCCCTAGACCACACACTGATGATGGCCGGCTCCGGCACTGCCCACCCCGGGCTGGCCCCACATACAGGACTGGCTGTGGTGCCAGCAACATCAGCATCTCATCCCGTGGACGGGCCACTTCCTCTCGTCTAACCCAGGCATGACCCTGGGAGAGAATTTTCTGTCTTTTGGGTGTTGAGAGAAGTGAGCATGGAGTCGCCTGATGATAAATCTGTTTCTCCACCACGATCATCGTATATGAGCTTCACCTGATGACTCTTCACCCAGGAACAAGGCAGAAGGCCGTGGTGCTTAGTCTAGATAACTTGCCATAGAGTGTTAAATGATGTCACCTACTTCCAGGTTTTGTTGCGACAGTATTAAAATGAAGGACATACGGCCATCACGCCACTGTGCCCTCAGGCAGCCTAGTCCAGGAGACCCACCAGGTCAGGGACTGTGCAGGGCTGGCCTCCGCCGGCACTGACCAGAACTGGCACAGCTGTGATGTCCCCTCGCAGTGGGCGGACCTGGCCACACGGCCTGAGCCTCGGCATGATCGGTCATGTCATCCTCCTCCCCACCCTGATGTCTGTGCTCAGTGCTTGAATTATTAGTCCCAACTCTGGCCAAAGACAAACTTTCCTCCAGAATCAAAGGGCAGTGTGCAGTGAAGAGGAGCCCTGGGCGGGAGACATGGCCGCCATAGCCTGTCTTGCTGAGCCCTGGTGAACAACTGAGGTTTAATTAGACCCCGGACACAGACAAGCAATAGTGTGTTCAGGGTCATGGAACATTTTTGAGCAGTTTAAGGTGGTACCAAACTTGAGTCAAAATAGGAGCTATTTATAGATGAAGCAACACTTAATGCTTCATATAAAGCAATGCATATTTTAAAATTACAAATGCAGGTATCTCTACATAGATGTGCTTTGCTGAGAAGTTAGGTCTGTCATAGACCAGAAACCACAAGTTGTGATTTCTTGTTTTCTTATTTTTTTCTTAGGAAACATTTCTATTTACAGTAAATATAGTTAATATGTAAATAATGTACATATATATATTGATTTCTGGAGTGTTATTCAGTGTATATTCTCCCACAACTTGCATGAAGAAATATCTGTATCTACTGATATTTTGCTGTAAACTGAACAGTAAAATAGGAGGGTGGATGGCTGTCACAAACTCTTACAAATACTATGTTCAACAAATAAAAATCAAGTGTATCATTAAAACAAAACTGAGACTTTGTTCTTTGAAATGGAGACATTGTTGGGTCTAACAAGCCACATCCTGACTTCACTCACCCGTATCTGGGGCTTGCACTGCCAGTCCTGTGCCTGACAGCCTGGCCAAAGGCACCGCCTGACAGGCCATGGTAGGAGCTTTGTGGTGGTGGGTTTTTTAACATTTTTTAGGTTTTGTTTTTTTTTTCCCCTTCACTATAGGGCACTGTGTTTATTAGAGAGAGAGGGAAAGTGAGAAATCCCCCTTGTGGGGGAGGGGGGATGGCCATGCCACAGTCCCTTCTCCATTCTCCTCTTGGGATGGGCATGCACTCACACGCTCCCAGCATGATTTTCAAGCCACCCGGTCAAGACTTGAACCATGGAGTTGGCTATGTGGGACTCAGCACCTTAACATCCACACCACCTGCTGGCCCTAGCTTTATGGGTTTTAAGGAAGTGAATGTGGACAACAGGAAGAAGTCAGTGAGAAGTGTTATAAGCGAATGGGGATAACAGCAGTAAAAAATAAGACACAAAATGTTTAATTTGCTGCCATTTATATACTATATAAATTTTACATGCTGTATATTTACAGTGGGGCAAGTGCTTTTTTAATCTTTAAAAAAACAAAGATCAAACTTTAGACATCTCTGAACAACACAAACTGTATAAACCATACAGATTATTCAGATACAAACTGTATTAAATACAGTTTTCCCCACTCCATCTCCTGATGCAGGACCAGTGAATTATAAGTGTATCACAGTTTGATAGCATATCCATATTAAAAATAAAATCACAGTATGATTTTGTCTGTAACTAGAAACTTTAAGGGACCAAGCTGACAACTCAGACTCCAATATCATATAGTCAAGACAAGAGACACTGTATAAAAAAGTGTTATGTAATAAAAACATACTGTAGGCTTTACAAATAATGTTTGGATTATACATTCATAATGTAAGTACTCATCATATAACTGGTAAATTGATTGGAATAGTTCCACAAAGTTCAAAAACAGAACTTGTCTATAAAATACATCTTCAAATCTTGAATACAACTAAAATATGAAGCAAATTAGTTTCTAGTATCAGACATTACAGAAAACAGACTGCTCTCGAATGTCTAGTTGAGAGCTTGTGAATCTTTAAATAAGTCTTTAAATTAAATATACACACTGTCAGTCTGTACTTCTAATTCCATGGTTTCCCGGTTGGTCTTGCACCAGATGTCTAGCTTGGAGGAACATTACATGAAATACAAGTAATCAACCTGAGTCTGTAATTAAGCAGCATTTGAGATGTTCTATTCCAGGGCATTATTTTCAATGTGATTTATATACACGGTATTTTACAATGGTCAGCAGTTGTAGAAAGTGTTCATCCATTTGGAATAAGGGTAATTAAGAAAAGGTAAAAACTAAAAAAAAAAAAAAGAAAAAAAGAAAGAAAGAAAAAAGTTCTCCATGGTAAAATCTGTACAATATTTACTAAAGAAGCACCACGCAAATTTGAACAAAGTTATTTTCTATATTTATAATTTAAGCTGGGTCGGGGATGGCTTCTGTTGAATGCGTTGAATCTGAAAGACAAGAGGCAGCAGGCATTAATTCTGGAGGCAGAAAGTCTGAACAAAGGCCCAGCAAGTCCCAGGGCGGGTCTCTGCTTTTCACACCACCAGCTAAAATATGAAGCAAATTAGTTTCTAGTATCAGACATTACAGAAAACAGACTGCTCTCGAATGTCTAGTTGAGAGCTTGTGAATCTTTAAATAAGTCTTTAAATTAAATATACACACTGTCAGTCTGTACTTCTAATTCCATGGTTTCCCGGTTGGTCTTGCACCAGATGTCTAGCTTGGAGGAACATTACATGAAATACAAGTAATCAACCTGAGTCTGTAATTAAGCAGCATTTGAGATGTTCTATTCCAGGGCATTATTTTCAATGTGATTTATATACACGGTATTTTACAATGGTCAGCAGTTGTAGAAAGTGTTCATCCATTTGGAATAAGGGTAATTAAGAAAAGGTAAAAACTAAAAAAAAAAAAAAGAAAAAAAGAAAGAAAGAAAAAAGTTCTCCATGGTAAAATCTGTACAATATTTACTAAAGAAGCACCACGCAAATTTGAACAAAGTTATTTTCTATATTTATAATTTAAGCTGGGTCGGGGATGGCTTCTGTTGAATGCGTTGAATCTGAAAGACAAGAGGCAGCAGGCATTAATTCTGGAGGCAGAAAGTCTGAACAAAGGCCCAGCAAGTCCCAGGGCGGGTCTCTGCTTTTCACACCACCAGTAACTTATTCTTGGATGCCCCATCAGCTGGTCTCCGAGGTCTCTGGAGAAGTTTCTGCCTTCGTGAATCGCAAAAAAGGACCCTGGTGATGCCCAGGGATGTATGCAGGGCTCAGGCTGGTGGCGCTCAGGCAGGGAGGTGCCATCTGCTGGGTCCAGCCTGCCCGTCCCAGACAAACTGCTGCCAATCTGTCTCAATCCTTAGGTTCCCACTTTTCACTCAGGAAGAGCTTAGTTCTTTAATTAGGCTTAGGCCTCCCTTAAGGACACACTGATAAAGCAGGTCAATTAACTGCAAATTAATCTTCTGTAGACAATTCACCTGGACATTCATTTAAAACCCCCTTTATTGATTAGACATGACAGACACATTTGAACAAAATTTCCTTACAAGGGCAAAATGGTTCACTGTCTTTTCCCCTTCCCTCAGCAAGTGCAGGGTATAAAACACGAGTTACTATGTCCCAGGGCCACAGAATAAAATGTAAAGTGTTGTTAAGTAACCTAAACACAGTCCTGACACAAAGAATTTGATCTGCTGTCGAGCTCCCAAACACCCTTCCAATAAAGCAGTGCTATTTATGAGGAGTGGGTGCCTCACTACGACTTCTGTCTGCAAGTCGAACCCTGTGCACCCTGCCTGGGTGCCATCAGCCCAGCCCAGCCGGGTGTGTGGTACAAAGTTCAGGCCAGGGGAAGGGCGGAGACTGGCTGCTGCCTGAGGACAGGCCACTCAGGAAGGTCTGGGCCGCGGAACAGGCTGCTGCAGCTCCAGGTGAAGCTTGATTCTGGAGCTTTACATGGTGGGTTTTCTTACAAAGACCGAAGAAGGAGGGACTGGAGTTAGAGCAAAGGCCATGAATCTACCCTCCCCAGAATCGGAAAAGGGGTTAACTAGGCATATTTCCAGGAGCACTGCTGCCCCTGCTGGACTGGCTGAGATCTGCCTAGGAGTAGCTCCATGACAGAGCTGCAAGTGCTCAGGGCCGTTTTCTTCAGAAGTAAAGCTTTACTGGTATCCCCTCAGAGCCTCCACAATCATGAAACAGGTAAGAAAATAGCTTACCATAACTAGTGAATTTTTTTGTTTTTGAGGCCGAGTTTTCAATCACCTGGAAAGCAAAGATCAGGAAACAGATTTTAATGATGGTTTTGCAAAACTGTTATGTGCTCTGTATGTGCGTCAAACAGCAACAGTTAGCAACAGTGCAGTGTAGCTTAATGTTTGTTGCCAGAAATCAGTCCTACTCAGGACAGTATACACTGGCACGGTGCTACTTCTCCAAGTGTTTTCCTAAAAATGAGTTTCTTTGCTGACTCATGAACACTGGTCCTAGTGAAAGGATGCCCCAGGGGAATGGTCCATCCTCGGTGGTCTTGAGGTGCATTCTAACACTGAGACAGAACAAATCTTAGTCAAAGAACAGAAGTTCAAAGATAAAGGTAAGTGGTCGAAGTCCAAGAGGATCCTGGGAGCCAGCAGAAGGGGCTGCAGTCCTCAGCCAGTGGAGGAATACTTGGCCCAGCAAGGCCAAGCAGGCACCCTTCTGGGGAAGACAGGCCCAGCACATGCTCCTCAGTCAATGCAAACAGCTGAAGCACTGGTCGCAAAACAGTCATCAGTGTGACTGTATCAGTGACAGAAGCAGGACCGCAGCACCCCCAAGACACTCGTCTACCAAACGTGAGGCAGACACTCAAGTTTGCACTCAACCCACTTCAGACTACCTCTAGCGGCTGCAGAAGATCCTGGCAACAATCCTGGGACCTTGACCAATACGTAGAACAAGCCTATCTCACTACTACTTAAGTACTGAACAGAGGTCAGAAGGGAATTAATCCTCACTAATCCTTTTCCCCAAGTCACTGAAACGTTTATATGAAGCAAATTCTATTTAATTTTAGTTGCCAGAGGGCATGAGCATTCACTAGAGAGGAGGGACGGAAAGCACCCCTCAATGGGGAATGGCCATGCTGCAATCGTCTCTCTCCCTCCTTTTGGGATTTTGGACATGTAAGTATATGCGCACACATACATACACTCCCAGCATGTTTTTCAAGCCACCAGGGCTGCGCTTGAACCATGGGATTAGCCATGTGAGATTCAGTTTCCTTAACCATTAGGCTACTGGCCCCTGTGAAGACAATTTTAAAATGTACATATTGGGGATGGAGTCAGCAGGTGGTATAGTAGGTAAGGCACTGGACTCCCACATGGCCAACCACAGTTTGAGTCCCAGACCCAGAGGCTTGAAACTCACACAGTGCATGTACGCGCGTGTCCAAAATTCTTTTTTTTTTTGGAGAGATTTTTTGCTATAGGGCATGTGTGCTCGCCAGACAGAGACAGAGAGACAGAAAGCGAGAAATCACCCCCCAGAGAGGATGGTCACGCCACAATCCCTTCTCCTCCATTCTCCTCTTGGGATCTTGGGCACGCATGTACATGCACCTGGCGTGAGTTTTAAGCCACCGGGTCTGGGACGCGAACCACGGTCGACTATGTGGGAGTCCAGCGACAAAGCCATTACGCTAACTGCTGTTTTCCTGCGTGTGTCCAAAATTCTGAGAGGAGAATAGAAGAGAAGGGATTGCAGCACGGCCATCTCCCCTGGGGAGGGGGGGTGATTTCTCGCTTTCCCTCCTACTGTCTCTCTCCAGCAATTGCACATACTCCTATGGCAAAAAAATCTTTAAAACACACAGA